GACCCCTGGCTTAAGCGTCTCCAGCCAGGCATGCGGAGGGAGATGGGGGTAGAGTTTACAGAACTGTCGGCTTGCAACCAGTAACTGAGATGGAAGGGACCTTGAGGTCATCTAGTCTAACCCACTGCTCTCACAAAGAGAGTACAGTACTGTACTCTATTTCTGATAAATGCCTGTCCAGTTTCTTCTTAAAAGCTTCTTAAAAAACAAAACAAAACTGCCCCTGATCAGCATAAGCCTCTCCAAGCAAAATCCAAAATGGGGGATTTCCTTCCAGTAAGGCGGGGGTCTCCCAACTTGGCCCTTTTATGACTTGTGGACTTCAACTCTTCCAATTCTGGGAGTTGAAGTCCGCAAGTCATCCAAGGGCCAGGTTGGAAGACCCCTGCAGTTAAGGGGTCAGCAGAATCTCTGCTGGGTCTGTGCCAGGGACAGGAGGAGGCAGCAGCAGCAGCCACAGGCTACCAATGTCAGGCAGATGCAAACAAACCATCTTGCAAAGCGCTGCACTTACCAACACAATAAGAAGCAGAGCAGTTCCCAAAGGGATTGCAAGCAACAGAAGTGCAGTTCCACAGAGTAACAAAAAATAATATTTTAAAATACTTACAGAAGTAGTTCTAGCTCTCTAGTCCTCAAGCCCGGCAAGCAGCAGGTCTTCCAGGCAGCTCCAGGAAAGCAAAAGCAAAAGAGATCTTGCAAAAATCACCCAATCAGCTTCGGCCATGTGACCAGCACCCACCCCCCAAAAAAAAGCCCCACTTCCGGCTTCTCCTCTCCGAGCCACGTGGCTGCAGAGGCCTCTTTGTTGGTGGCGGTTTTGCACGTCTAACAGTAAGTTCCCTTTCTGAATTCGTTTTTGTGAACACTCACTAAATAAACGTTCATACCTGGGGGAATTTACTGTATATAGTTTTAAATAAAATAAAATAAACCCCTAGGGTTTTGTTTGCATTTGTTCCAATTTACTGTGCATTTGAATAACTGCCCCCTGCTTTTAATTAAACAGCCAGTTGCATTTAAACATGGCGACCTTGTTGAAGAGCCACTGATAGACTCTGTGGCTCCCTTTTTTTCTAGGCATCCAGTGGAAAGGTTTTTTTAAAATAAAATAAAATAAACTCCTAGGGTTTTCTTTGCATTTGTTCCAATTTGAATAACTGCCTCCTGCTTTTAATTAAACAGACAGTTGCTTGTCTGTTGCATTTAAACATGGAGAGCTTGTTGAAGAGCCACTGATAGACTCTGTGGCTCCCTTTTTTTTCCAGGCACCCAGTGGAAAGGTTTTTTAAATAAAATAAAATAAAATAAAACACACTCCTAGGGTTTTTTTTGCATTTGTTCCAATTTACTGTGCACTTGAATAACTGCACCTGCTTTTAATTAAACAGCCAGTTGCATTTAAATATGGCGACCATCTTGAAGAGCCACTGATGGACTCTGTGGCTCCCTTTTTCTTCCAGGCACCCAGTGGAAAGGTTTTTTTAAAAAATAAAATAAAATAAACTCCTAGGGTTTTACTTTGCATTTGTTCCAATTTACTGTGCACCCTGCTTTTAATTAAACAGCCAGTTGCATTTAAATATGGCGACCATCTTGAAGAGCCACCGATAGACTCTGTGGCTCCCTTTTTTGCAGGCACCCGGTGGAAAGGATTTTTTAAAATAAAATAAAATAAACTCCTAGGGTTTCTTTGCATTTGTTCCAATTTACTGTGCACCTTGCTTTTAATTAAACAGTTGCTTGTCCGCTGCATTTAAACATGGAGAGCTTGTTGAAGAGCCACTGATGGACTCTTTGGCTCCCTTTTTTTTCCCAGGCACCCAGTTCGCCACCTCCGCTTCAACTCCCACAGCCTCATCACGGCCAACATCCCCAATGAAAAGATTCCCCGAGGGGCCAGCATCACGGACGACGACTTGACCGCTCACCGAAGGTGAGAGCTGACCCTCACGGTGGTACTTTTTTTCTCAACCAGCAGGAGGCGCCCTGTGACACCCCTCTCAGGGTTGCTAGACTACAATTCCCAGCAGCCTTAGCTAGACAATATTGCGGGACGCTGGGAGGCATTCCCCCAAGTTGGCCTTCCTCAGTTTAAACCAAGGGTCTTCCAACTTGGCCCTTTTATGATTTGTGGACTTCAACTCCCAGAATTCCTCAGACAGGCACAAGTCATAAAAGGGCCAAGTTTGAAGACCCCTGGTTTAAACAGGAAAAGAGAAGAAGCTGCAATGGAGGAGCGTTTCAGAGCTTATGGTGGCAGAGAGCCAGGATGTTGTGGCCAAGCCAGGCAGGGGTTTAGGATGGGAGGGTAGCCAGCTATAAATCACAAGCAAGCTCTGGTGAGCAGCAAGTGGCTTGGAAGAACAAACCCAGCATGATGGGTGAAGGGTGGTAAGATGTTCCAGCACCCATTATTATGGGTTGGCTTGGCTTAGATTGATGGGGATTATAGTCCAGCTGCTTCTGGATGGCTATTGGCCTCCCCTCCTCTTGGAATACAGAGTAGTTTAGCTTACCCAAATCCTGTTTTAAATCTTCTCCCTTCCTCTCCCCTTCCCTTCCCTCTACTCCCCTTCCCTCTTCTCCTCCCCTCCCCTCCCCCCTTACCTCCTTTTCCCCCCTCCCCTCCTCCTCCCACTTCCCTTCCCATCTGTTTCCTCATACTCTGAGCTGACTTCCAAGAAGGTGAATACAAGACAGTTGACATATCTAGCCAGGGAATTCTGGGGATTGAAGTCCACACGTCTTATCGTGGCCGAGGTTGAGAAGCACTACTCTAAAAGTTGAACAACCCAGAACCATTAAGGGTGCTCCTTCAAGCACATAGGCCTACTCTGAATTGATGTGCTTGCATCTCCTTGGCCCTAGAGAGGAACCAGAATCTGGAGCAGGGGTCTTCAAACTTGGTCCTTTTATGACTGGTGGACTTCAACTCCCAGAATTCCTCAGCCAGGTATGCTGGCTGAAGAATTCTGGGAGTTAAAGTCCACCAGTCATAAAAGGGCCAAGTTTGAAGGCCCCTGGTCTGGAGCAACGTTCTTCAATCTGGGCAACTTTAAGACGTGAGGGCCAATTCCCAGAATTCCCCAGCCAGCTTGAATTTGAAGTGCAGACATCTTAACGTTGCCAAGGTTGGAAAGTTGCTCCAGAGGGTTTTGAACTGCTGGGAACCAGACTGGTTGAAAAGCACTCTGTTTATTTTCTTTTCCCTTTTCTCCCCTTGCTTCTCTCTGGACAGGCACAGAGGCATTATCTACGCCTACGAATTCTCCACAGACAAGCTGGTGGCAGAGAGCGTCCTTCCTATCTGCCGCTCCTCTTACAACGAAGTGGCCGGCTACAGCTACAACATTGGCCTTGTGGTCCCCTATGACAACATCTAGGCAGGGTGAGAAGAAGGGAAGTCCAGCTGAGCTGGACCCTGGAGAAGGAGAAGCCCAAGGATGGCGTTCCTGCAGACCTCTTTGGAGGGCTCGGAAGCCACGGGTTGGCCAAGTAGGCAGCAGAAGAAGGGGGGCACATGGGGGTCCCACAGCTTTAATAACAGTGCTGTGGGAACGTAGAAGAGATGGTGGCTAACAGGAACCATGATAGATAGGCAAGAATCAGGAGAAGATAATAAAGGCTTCAGCCCA